AATGTCTGATATACTCATTGTCTGTTGACCGAGCTGGGTTGGCTTGCGACCTTCAGCACTTGCCGGGGCTGCGGCGAGCTCGACCTTCTTGAATGTGTCTTGATAACAGGCTCTAGCCATCTTCTGATTCCCCTTCAGCACTCCTACCCCCTGAGGAGTTGGGAATTTCATACAGAGATGGGGCTGTGAGATAACAGCCTTCAGCTGGCACAGGGTGGCTCTTCCCAGTATAGCGTTGAAAGCCGATTCCATCTTGACGACCAAAAAGGTAACGGAGGCCATCCTGAAACGTGGCTCGGAGCCCACATATATGGGAAGGGTAATAACTCCCTCCACGGGGACAGGCTGGTTGTCGAACCCATATATGGGCCCTTCATACTTCTGCAGTGAGCCCGGATTCAGCTGCACCTTTTGAAAACAGCTCCAGTATAAAATATCTGGCGAGCTGCCAGTATCAATAAACACCTTATTGACATTATGATTGCCTATATGAACCATTGCCACAAAGGGATCTGCATGGGGCATCATAATGTCAGGCTCTCCTTCTACTCGCTTGTAATCTGCCGGGCTGAATGTGATAGGCGTATTCTCCGATTCTGCTTCTTCAAACGGGCATTTCAAAGGCCTGTTTTTGTTAACTGTCATCACTTGCCGCGCATACGCTTTGCGACCTCGGGCACTTTGGCCTCCAGAGTGTACACCAACTGATATCATATTTATTGTACCGGAGGGCGGGGGTATCCCAGCATAACCTACCCCTTTCCTATCTTTTTGATTCTGGGCGGCAGTTCTCTGCCCCTGTCCTCTCCTGTTGAACGGACGCCCTCTGTACGCCCTACCCTGCTCCGAAGGATATTGGTTGTCCTGATATACATCTTGTGCCTCGCCGAGCTGGTACCTCTGCCCCTGAGGTCGATCATACCCCTGTACAAAATGAGTTTGAGTGGGTTGCTGGGCGTGGGGCTTCTGAACATATCCTTCTAGTTTCCCATTGCGAGCCAGGAACTCTAGCTCGTCCTTCAGGTGTTGGCAATCTTCTGTGTTGTGACCAGTGTTGTGACCATAAGTACGATGATAGTCACAATGCTTGCTCTTGTCCGCCCTTGGGGATTCATACAGTGGGGGTGGGGGTGGGGGTCTTCTAACCCAGTGTTGTATTTGCGCAAGGATTTGAGACCTGGGCAAGGTTAAAGGAATGTAGTTGGCGTACTTTGGGAAGTCAGCCGGCTTCCCCCACTGCTCGTCGACTTTCTGTTTCTTCTTCTCTTCCCTTCTCGGGGGCTGTTCCTGGCTTTTGCTTTGCTTATCGTCAGCTCGTCACTTGAACGACTGGAAGTCTTTTGATAATATGAGGCTAGCTGACCTGTCATTCACTTTGTTCCAAGTCCTCGGGGGGTTTTCTAGAAGGTCGTCCAGGAACCGGCCACGCTTCAAACCATGCAGCAAGGCGGACAGGCAGATGGTGTCTGGGACGTTATCAATGTCCAAAGTGGCTTTGTTGAATCGCTGCATGTAGTCCCTCAGAGA